TGTGTGTGTGTGTGTGTGTGTGTGTGTGTGTGTGTGTGGTATGAAGGACTGTCTATAAAGACAGTCCTGGTCACCAGGCTACACTGTGGGGCTGGAAGCTGCTGATTCAATCAACCTTTCTCTGTTCATTATCAACATGAATATTTCATGTCAGTAAAGAGTAGAGTGGTGCTTTACAGTAGGGACTGAGTCATTTATTTTGATGCCTGTCAGGTGGTTTTAAAATTAACTTCCGAAGCAAAGGCTCCTCTTGCATTTTTGTTCAAAGCGCATGAACACAAGGGGCTCATCTTTGCTACTCTTCTCTTCTGCATTCTGTTCCTGCCTCTAGAGTCTCTCATGCGAATGAAAGAGGAGACCACTGAAGTCGATGAGTTCACCTTCTCGCAGGGCACCTCAGACCAAGAGAGCAATGGCTCGGGCAGTTACTACATTAGACAGGAACCCTGATGTGACAAAATCAAGGAGGAGGAAACCACAAAAGGACATCTCTGGAAACACCGAACCAACAATCAGGAATGGGGAGGGTCAAACTCACCTGAGAGGATACTTGAAGAGTGATGCCACAGGCCACCTGTAATGTCAGCACATGAGGAATACCATTCCTCAACATCACTTAAAACAATTTTCTAACCTGGTAGGGGTGTGTCCACATAATCACTCAGAAAGTCCTGTCTAATCATGGAAAGCACCCAGAGTCAGGCCTGGGTCATAGATGTTTGGGCATTCTCTTTCTACGACCTGCATCTTTTTCTCCCTTTCTTTGGCTATCTGAACCAGATGAGCTATTTGGATGATTTTGTCTTGCAAGCCTCTATCAGCCCATCCAGCCTCAGCCATAATGTGGGCCACATACAGAGACCTGGAGAAACTGTGACAACAATTTATTGAGCCAGGTCTTTAGGTTTTCTTGCGTTTGTTGTATGGGAAGGGGGGGGGTGTTGTTGGTGGTGTTTTTTGTTTGTTTTTTTTGTATAAAAATGTGAGAGTCAGCCGTTTAGCAGCTGCTTGAGCAAAGTAAGGCTGTCAGAAAGATGAGCAGAGTTGTGTATATTTTTGCAGTATTGCCAGGTGGACTTTAATTTTAATAATAGTACTTGAATTTTTCCTTATTTCATTTTGTTTTGATTTTCAGGTTGATTTTTTTATGTCCTTTTTTTCATGTTTTGGTGGCTGTTTGAGTAACGTGTCGTTTTATAAAGTGACTATTCACTAGTAAGTGTAGGCCTATTCAAATAGAGCTACACAAAGAGTTCTTGCCATGCTGCTCAGCATTAATGATGGTCTTTCCCTCCTTTTGTTCTTTTTCCTTATAGTATTGAAAGTATTGAACAGAAGATTTCCACAGCTACATTTATTCCTCATTTAGTTATTACAGAACCAAAATCTGTTGCTCTTTTTTTTTTTTCAGATTCAGAGTTTGAAAAAGACTCTATTATAAAACTACTTTTGTAATGGACTCTGTCAATGTCCTACTAATCTCATTATTATTATTATTATTATTATTATTATTATTATTAACCTTTCACTAACTTTGCAATGTTTTAAACTAAGAAGTCTTTTTGAGCCCATTTGAGAAGCCAAGTTCTTCATTGACCTTTTAGGGTAGCTTATCACTTATTTTTGTTAGTAGATTTTCTTTTTTGTATCCACATTTACAGGGTTTTCCCACTTTCTGGTGCAGCTTTATACAAAAACACATCTTATGCAGCTGTTGCTTTTTTTTCTTTTTTTTTTTTTTATATTAACAAACAAAAACACTTTTTTCACATTCCACTGAGCTTGTATAGACAATATATAAAATATGGACATGGCTACCACGAACCATTGGTTTTCAATTTTTAACTGTCAACATTTAAGTTTTGACCCTTTTTGTTTCGTTTCTTGGAGCCAGAAGTGAACATAATTGAACAACAGGTGGCTAAGTTACCAGCTAATGCTAGCTAGGTGGTTAGCAGCCACATACCGCCTAATTACTGCTAATAAAACACTCAGGTTTTCACTCACCAAGGGTGAAGCACAAACATCTTGAATGTTATTTTCCACCAGCAGGGCTGATAATTTGTCAGATAAATAGATGCCAAAAGGCATCAACAACACAAGTATAGTCCAGAAGTCTAGTTCAGTGACGCCAGTTAATGGAGGTGAGGTCTGTTGCCAGCCACACCACAGCTGCCTGTGGTAGTGTGTCTCACACCACAACTTGGCCATATACTGGGATATAAGCACATTTTTCTTTTAATGCTGTAAAGCTGAACATTGTATGTAGAGGTTATGACTTGCTTTTGGAGCTAAGCTTGAGTTTTTGGTCCTGCAGTACCTCTGTGAATGAGCAGTTGTTGAAGCAGTTATCACTGGGGTAGCTTCAGATTCTGTGTGCTGTACTGATAAAAAAAAAAAAAGGATTACTGAAGCTGTGGAAATGAAAAATGGCTTTTTTTGTTTGTTTGTTTGTTTTAAAAAAGAAAAAAAAGCTCCACATTTTGATGTTATGAGAATATTTCAGAAGAAACAGGAAGTGTAAGTAAGCAGCAGGTCGCAAAGTTGTCCCCACTGCCCGGCCATACAATATGCTTTGAGCTTTACTCTCTGATTGTAGCTGCTGTAAAAGATGAACTTCAGTCTTATCAGAGACTTGTCTTATCACTTGGTCCCTCGAAATAATCATAATAATCTTGGTATTCTGTTAAAGGTTTATCAATATACATGTCATGTCCTTTTTCTTTTTCTTTTAATTTCAGTTGTAATTTTACCAAAATCTGCGTCTGCAGTGTGCCACAATTATATATCTATTATTTAATTTCTAAAAAATAATATGCAATACAGAAAATCTTGAAAGAAAAAAAATTTCTTTATTCTGAAGTAATGTAACGTATGACATAATGAAATGGGAATTAAAGAATTCATTGAGTAGTAGTAGTATTAAATACATATGAATCACTTAAAAATATTAAATGCATACAAAGGTTTATTAGAAAATTACATTTTAAACGCCCCACCAACCCTAATCTGCTGGATAAAAAGTTAAGGAGGTAGATGGCAGAAATGTAAATTCAATTCATGGCTGTTGTTGGTTTATTCTTTAGTTAATGGAATATGATTAAATACTGTGTGTGGCATACTTGAGACTACATACTCCATTTAGTTTCTGTCACTCAAATAGGTGGCTGGACTGCCATGTTAAGACAAAGTAGGAGAATCTACCTTGGTTACAGCAAACTTATAACCAAACAGGTCTTCAAGTAATATGCAAAATGTTTGTAGGGTTTGTGTGTGTGGGTGTGCGTACGAGTGATAAAGCCATGTATGCAAGCTAGTTTATGATTCATCTGAGCCACAGAATGACAGGTTGTTCTTGATAATTAAACAATGCACTGCTTTTCCTATCGTCTCTGAAGGCAGCATTCACATAGCATAGTGGCATAAAAACATATATTGTATGTAAATACATATATTTATACTCCACCACTGTGATGGAATCAAACAAAAAAATCATCTTTAGCCAGAAAATGGAAAAAAAAAAAGACAACAGACCACCTTTGATTATTCTTAGAGCTCGATTTTTGCAACCGTTTATCTACTACCTCCTGATGCTAGCTATGTTTAGCTAAAGCGAGAGCATGAAATAGACTATTGCAGTGTGTTGGCTTATGCAAATGGAAAAAAATCAACAACCTGAAAATAATCCACTTGAAGGCTAGACTTCAAACGTGGAATAATATTATTGCAACACATGAGGAAGTCTTCTATTTTGAATGTAATGCAATAGATCCAATCTTATTTTGCTATACTAAGTAAAATTTATAGCGCCTGCAAATGTCACGATCACTACACTGTTATCATTAGCATGTAAGAAAAATTAACAATAGGGTGTTGTATAATTGTGACTTTTATGGTCAAAGGGTTTAAAAATAATGCTCACTTTATGGCCAAAGGATGCTTTTAAATGCAGAGAATCTGTAAACTTCTCAGTAAAGGTAAACTAACAAGTTTCAGATTCAATGATTCAATTGAATGGTTCAATTCTCAGGAAGTTTTGATCCTTTGTAAAGGTTGTGTGAATCAGCAGGGTTTGAAAACCCCAAAGGCATTTTGATCTTGTAGATTTATTGTATGGAAGCAAACAAGGTTTAAAAACGACAGATTTTGAAGCAGGTTGTGATATTTGAATGCTGAAACCTCCCCAGAATTGTGATTCTGATTTGTGATGGCATATTTAGTTCATTTTTTAATTTATTTCAGAATTTTCAAGAAACAGAACTGTCAAAACTTACTTCCCAGAAATTAAAAATTGATGTAAAACAAAAAAATGGAGGGGCATAAATTTATGTTAATTGACATAACAGAAATTTGCATTTCCAGCATCATAAAAGTATGTAAATGTTTTTTTGTTTGATGCCCCCAGTCAGTCAGTCATAGATCCCATTGCTTAATTACAGAATGTCTTCTGAGAGCAATAGTCAAAATTTTCGGACTTACATATACATATATAAAAATAACATACACATATATATATATATATGAGGATAACTGTTGCTAAAAGATCATCATCACTATCCTTTAAAATGGATAGTTAAATATCAACATTTGGTATTAAGCTGTGTTTAAAAACAAAATTCATTTAAGAATTAAGTTATGATTCCTTAATTAGAGCTCTTTTGCTTCTGAACACTCAAGATGAATAACCATTCTGCATTCATGTTTAAGTTCATCTCCTGAGATTTGAAAAAATTATGTTTTCCTTTTAAGAGAAACTTGTACAAGAAATGCAAAGCTTTTTGATTGTGAAACAATAAATGACTGTCTTACAATAAGTGCAAGACTCATTGACATGAGCCCTTTGAGAAGGTGCTCATGTTCCTGTAATGTATGAAGGCAAAAGGAAACATTAAAATACCTGATCAGCAAAATGCATTTGTACAAAAACAAAATGACTGTTCTCTAACTGTTTCTGGCCTCCTTTAGATTAAACCCCAAGTAATCAAATACTCAGTCAATGTTATTTCAGATCTCCAGTTCCTAATATTTTCTTGTAGAAAATGTACTTTTTGATTTACCTTCTTTCCTAATGCTCCATCCACAGTTGCTTATATATTTAAAGATTTTGGATCTCAGTAGCTTGAGATGAAAGCAGGTTGATGATTTTGATTTTGGTGGCACGTAACAGTAATAATAAAAATGTTACTCTACCAAAACAGTAATAGTGAGAACAATATGTCATAATATCAGGAATAACGTTACCAATGTACTGTTTAACAATTTATATTATTTCATTCTATACATTTTTTCCAAGTAAGACAAACGTGATAAATTTCATTTTGAATTAAATTTCTGTGGTAAAATAAGTTGGGTATGCCAAGTCAGAATTTTCCTAATTTTGGTGTTAAGCCAAAATTGAAACAAAATAAAATCAGACTTGCAGCCTTATTGCGTTTGCTGAATATTTGTGTAATCCAGTTTTGTTTTTACCTTTTCCTGGCACTGATAGCCTTCCATAGATAACAGTTTGGTTATGGAGGTCTTGCAGCTGATCTGGTTCTTCTAGATGAGAAGAATTAGGTAAATGCTGAAGTTTTGTTTTCATCCTCTTTCCTGGCTTCTAACACGGGTCTTTTGTATGCGATCACTTCCCCTCCTGATTATATTGTGGTGCTATGTGTATGTGTATATATATATAGATATATATATATATAT